GATTCATCGAGGGTCAAACTTAAATGCCTCTATGCAAACACACGTAGCATGAGGAATAAACAAGAGGAGTTAGAGGTGCATGCATGTCTGCAGGGCTATGTTCTTGTTGGCATCACGAAGACATGGTGGGATGAATCCTATGACTGGAGTGTCAGAATGGAAGGATACAGACTCTTTAGGAAGGACAGGCAGGGGAGACAAGGAGGAGGTGTTGCCCTCTATGTCAAAGACCAGCTGGAGTGCATGGAGTTCCGCCTGGAGATGGATGAGGAGCCAACTGAGAGCTTATGGGTCAGGATTAAAGGGAGGGCAAGGACAGGTGACATAGTAGTGGGGGTCTACTACAGGCCTCCTGACCAGGAAGACCGAGCAGATGAGGCCCTCTACAGACAGATAGGAGAAGCCTGACATTCACAGGTCCTGGGCCTCATGGGGGAAGGCAACCACCCTGATATCTGTTGGAGGGGCAACACAGCAGAGCATAAGCAGTCCAGGAGGTTCATGAAATGTAGTGACGATAACTTCCTTCTCCAACTGATAGAGGAACCAAAGAGGAGAAGTGCTCTGCTGGACCTTGTTCCCACCAATAAGGAGGGGCTGGTGGGGAATGTGAAGCTCAATGGCAGCCTTGGCTGTAGTGACCATGAAACGATGGAGTTCAAGATCCTTAGGGCAGTGAGGAGAGTGCACAGCAAGCTCACTGCCCTGGTCTTCAGTAGATCAGACTTTGGCTTCTTCAAGGATCTGCTTGGTAGACTACCATGGGAGAAAGCCCTGGAGGAAAGAGGTTCCCAAGAAAGCTGTGCCTGATATTCAAGGATCACCTCCTTCAAGCACAGAAGCAGTGCATCCCAACAAAGAGGAAGTTGGGCAGAAACACCAGGAGGCCTGCATGGATGAGCAAGGAGCTCCTGGACCAACTTGGGCACAAAACGGAAGCCTACAGAGAGTGGAAGAAAGGACAAGTAGCCTGGGAGGAATACAGAGAAATTGTCCAAGCAACCAGGGATCAGGTTAGGGAAGCTGAAGCCTTGATAGAGTTAAATCTGGCCAGGGACATCAAAGGCAACAAGAAAAACTTCTCTAGGTGTGTCAGTGATAAAAGGAGGACTAGGGAAAACATAGGCCCTCTCTGGATGGAAACGGGAGACCTGATTACCAGTGATACAGAGAAGGCTGAGGTACTCGATGACTTTTTGTCTCAGTCTTCACTGGCAAGTGCTGTACCTGCACTGCCCAAGTCGCAGGTGGCACAGGCAGAGACTGGGAGGATGAAGAGCCATCTGCTGTAGGAGAAGGTCAGATTCGAGACCATCGAAGGAACCTGAAGGTGCACAAGTCCATGGAACCTGATGAAATGCATCCATGGGTCCTGAGGGAACTGGCAGATGAAATTACTAAGCCACTATCCATCATATTTGAGAAGTTGTGGCAGTCCGGTGAAGTTCCCACTGACTGGAAAAGGAGAAACATAGCTCTCATTTTTAAAAAGGGGGAAAAGTAAGACCCAGGGAACTACAGTCCAGTCTCACCTCTAGGCCTGGCAAGATCATGCAGCAGATGCTCCTGGAAACTATGCTAAGGCACATGGAAAATAAGGAGGTGGTTGGTGACAGCCAGCATAGCTTCGCTGAGGGTAAATCATGCCTGACAAATTTCGTGACCTTCTACGATGGGGTTATAGGGTTGATTGATAAGGGAAGAGCAACTGATATCATCTTATCTGAACTTGTCCAAAGTGTTTGACACTGTCCCATGTGACATCCTTGTCTCCAAATTGGAGAGACATGGATTTGACAATGGACTACTTGGTGGATAAGGAATTGGCTGAATGGTCGCACTGAAAAGAGTTGCAGTCAACGACTTGATGTGCAAGTGGAGACCAGTGACAAGTGGTGTTCCTCAAGGGTTGGTATGAGGGCCCATGCCGTTTAACATCTTTCTCGGCAACATGGACAGAGGGATCAAATGCACCCTCAGCAAGTTTGCTGACGACACCAAGCTGTGTGATGTGGTTGACACGCTGGAGGAAAGGGATGCCGTCCAAAGGGACCTTGATAGGATTGACAGGTGGGCCTGTGAGAACCTCATGAAGCTCAACAAGGCCAAGTGCAAGGTCCTGCACATACACTGGGGTAATCCCAAACACAAGCTGGGTGGAGAATGGATTGAGAGCAGCCTTGAGGAGAAGGACTTGTGGGTATTGGTTGATGAGAAGCTCAACATGAGCTGGCAATGTGTGCTTGCAGCCCAGAAAGCCGACTGTATCCTGGGCCACATCCGAAGAAGCGTGGCCAGCAGGTCGAGGGAGGTGATTCTGCCCCTCTACTCTGCTCTTGTGAGGACCCACCTGGAGTACTGCATTCAGCTCTGGGGCCCCCAGCACAAGAAAGACATGGAGCTGTTGAAGCAGATCCAGAGGAAAACCACTAAAATGATTCAAGGCCTGGAGCACTTCTATGAAGACAGGCTGAGAGAGTTGGGGTTGTTCAGTCTGAAGAAGAGAAGGCTTGGGAAGGTGTTTTACCAGCCTTCCAGTACCTAAAGGGGGCCTACAGGAAAGCTGGAGAGGGACTTTTTACAAGGGCGTTTAGTCATAGGACAAGGGGCAATGAGCTTAAACTGTAGAAGGTAGATTTAGTTTAGATATAAGGAAGAAATTTTTTACATTGAGGGTGGTGAAACACTGGCACAGGTTGTCCAGAGAAGTTATGGATGCCCCATCCCTGGAAGTGTTCAAGGCCAGGCTGGATGAGGCTTTGAGCAACTTGATGTAGTGGAAGGTGTCCCTGCCCATGTCAGTGGGTTTGGAACTAGATGATCTTTAAGATCCCTTCCAACCCAAACCATTCTATGATTCTAGAAGAGACCAGCATGACAGAAGTTAAGAACAGGCCATCAGCATTGTTCTGATTAAACTGCTAATCTTCATTTTCTGGTTTAAGTTTGGTAGGGAGTGAAGGAAAGCAATTTTAAGTTTAGATATTCGGCTTTATTATCTAAAAAATAGTAGTGTATATTCTAAGACTTCTAACAGGAGAATAAAGTGGTCAGCCACCTGGTTGCACCAAGACCAATCTGAATTGTGGTTAGCATTGTCCGAAAACACTATTCTGTCAGAAAAATACTGTCCTTACCAGCTTTCGTGTTAAAAAAGCCACCTTTTGTAAGTTCTATGTGCAATTGTAGTTCAGCTTTGCTTTCCTCAACTTTGTGATGCATCTGAACAGCATCTGAAATATTTTATCTTGGAATTTTCTTGGCTTTTTTAAGAAGTTAAGGAAAAATGCTTGTAGCTCTGCTGTATGGAGACAAATATGGCATGTAAATCAATTTCTTGGGACAAAAGCCTTAGGTAAGTAGATTATACCATAAGTGATAGATACTTTAATTAACATATCTGGTTTAAACATCAGATTTACTTGAAGTTTCACATATGTATTTCTTAATGTCTTTAGCCCTACCACTTCTTTGTAAGAGCTGCATTGAAGTCTGTAGAAAAAGAGTACCTGTCCAAGTTTCAGAAGATTCGGAGTCCAAAAACGCAGGTTTCTAAAGTTTGTAAAAAAACTGGCTTAACAATTTAGAATTTGCTCAAATTTCAAAGTTCTTGATTTTTTAAAAATTACAACAAGAAGTATAAGAACTGAGACAAGAAGGAAATTATTTAACTATTCCATGCTTCTGCGTATCAGTTCAGGTTTGGAGATCTTCCTTTCTGTCCCATTTCACAGGCCAAATTCCACTTCAGGGAGAACTTTCTTAGCATTCAGCAAAGTGAGATGATGAAGATGCCAAATGCTGAGGGTGGTAGAAACATAGTTACAGTTTGGGCTATCTCTCAGTTGTCATATGCAATCACTTTCAGTCTGGATTTGGACTGGTCACTCACAACTAGGGTTTTGGGGAGCTGCCAGTTGAACTCAATAAATACCTCAGTGCTTGGTTTCCTTCCTTAATATAATGTGCATGGCCAAGTTAGAAATTTTATGCAATATCACGCAGGTGTGTTGTGGAGGTGTTGTTCAAACTGCAATGTTTTCACTTTTTAAATTGATAGTGTTTTGTATCTCCTATAGTAGTATACAGATGCTAAAATCTGGATTTATGAAACAGAGATTCTAATAGCAAGAGAAATACGCCCTCCATGAAGATGATACAGTTGTTTTCTATCAGACTTTTCACCCTCCATCACAAGGTTTCCATTCTCTGTTTTCTTCATCTTCTAGTTCCTCCTGGTACCAACTCTCTGTGCTGCTCTGTTCTGTCTCCTTTTACTCTAGGCCATTTCATTTGTACTGTTCTCCAAGTCTCTGCATTAGAGCAAGGAATAGAGCCTTCCACAAACATGATTTTCTCCTGTAGCTGCTGTCCTCTGAAGCACAATTTCCCCCATATTTCTTCCTTCCCATCCTGTACTCGTCCCTTTAGCCATAATGGCAGCAGTACTGGATTGCATGCGTGTAAACCCCTATAACTTGTTCCAGCTGAAGCTCTGTATTAACTGACATTTGGGACTTTTCCAGGCTGATAGACCAACGTCCCACAGGGCTTCCCTTTAGTTCTGATGCTTCCTGCATCTCCAGCAAGGTGCTCCTCTCCATGCCCTTCCTCTGTTGCAGAACTGTTGAGTTCTGCTCCTCCTAGTCCAGTGGTGGTAAACACCACTGCTGGGGGCTGTGCCTGCAGCATGGGGTCTTCCAGCTCCCATCCTTCAGCTTACAGTGGGTCTGATGATGTTCCTTGCTCTGTAGTGTGGCCAAAAAAAAGAGGTACAAATTAGAGATCAAACCAGAAAGCAAACCACTGTGGTTCAGTTGCAATAGTGCAATCAGGAGCAGAGTCTGACCCATATTAAACACACTGGTGCACACGTCCTCATGCAGAAAGTCAATGTTCACAACGTTCCCATGTGCCGCTCGATCAGTCACTACTCTGAAATCAAACAATTGTGGCATATGCTTCTTATCTAATTCACATATTTTGTTCCCTCTTTGTAGAAGAACTTGTGAAAAATGTTGGTGAACATGAAAAAGACCAAAGCAGAAATTCCAGAGATGCACAGTTACAGGAAGAGACAACAAGGATACAAAATGAGAGTAGTCAGGGAAGTGAAGGTACAACCTGTCCTCCCAGATCCATCGTCCTACAAGTAGTCTCTTTCGACACTCCTCTGAGTGATGAATCCAACTCAGAAAAATGCACTAACTCTGATCCGAACCAGAAAGATCTCACCGGTGCCCAGCAAGAAACACAGAATACAGACCCACTGAATGGTAATACTTCATCACAGAGCACCAGTCAATCTCATGAAGCTGTCCAGGGCGAAGCTGCAGCAGTGTCTGGTATCTCCCTGTCAAACATCGACAGTAATGTAAAATATCGAAACGAGGTGTTGTACAAACCACCAGCGTAAGACAGTTGCTTCAGGCATGTGTAGAAACAGTCGTGTCCTAAAACCATCAAATAAAAGCTGTTTGATATAAACATCATCTTCTTGATATTACCTATTTGGTGGTATCTAGCAGAAATTTTTTTACATAAAATACCAAGACCTTTAGTTGAACTGGAAGAATGATTTTAAAGTAATTTAAAGATGCGTATTTGCAATTAAATAGCAGGGGTTTATTGGAGAATGAGGTAAACTTTCAAAACAGAACTATCTAACGTGTTCTGTTTGAATAGGTAATTATTCTTATGCTATTAAAATGCACTGCCCTTAGTTTAGGCATGTAATAGGATTATTATTTTGTGAACCACATCCTTTGTACTAAATGTAATGTGAATTTTAGAGTTAACTTTAAGTAGATGGAATTTGCTTACTGTAGTAAGCATGGGACTGTGTCATTCTCTTAGTCAGAAAGATCAGTCTCCTGACTGTAGTTTGCAGGACAAGCAGAGCAGCCAGAAAATCCCTATAATGTCAGAATATTTTTTTAGAATGTATGTGTTTTATCACAAGCTGACTATGTTTTAGTATCTGGTGGTTGTAAGATGGTATCAAGGGCAAGATGTCCAAGCAATAGGAATAGATGTTATCAAAGTAAGAGAAAGACACTGTGCATTTTCATTTTATTTTCTGAATTTGCTTATTGTTAGAATAAGCTTTGAGATATTAGGGTAATAAGAATAATCAAGGCATATAATGACACTTCTTTTCATTACTTCTAATTAAAATGCTAAACTCATTAATGCTTTTATGACAGTGAGCCTTGCAGTATTGTGCCAGAAGCATGGCATTGTCTGAGCAGCAACACTGAAGTGCTCTTAGACATAAGCATATGACTTGGCATATTTCTCAAAAATGCTTTTTGTTGAGAACTCCCACTTTTCTAGAGTTCCACATTCCAGTGTTCCATACTTTCATTGTTGACAGGTTTTTTCCATCAGAAATAACAGATGGTTAATTTAGGGTCCTAAATCAAAATATTTACACTAAAATTAATTTCACAGCATTTGAAATTCTCTAATAATTGACATTTTTTGTCTTTTGACATGTATTTTTGCACCGATTTTTGTAGTGAAGCCCAACGTGAAATTTAAGTGCCTTATGAAAAGTTTCCCATCTCTGGGATGAGGAACACAGTCAGAAAACCTGCATCTTTTATCTTCCAAACTATGTGGAAAGCAGTTGTGGTGTAGCCGTTCTTGGGGGTCTTCAGATGTGTGACCAACAAAAATGATGTTTGAGAGGTCAGATACAACTCAGCATGCAGTTATTGCACTCTGTTGCCTTGCCAATCATTACATTCCACCTTTCCTATGAGAATAGTGATTTCTTATTTTAGAAAAAGCTAATCTAATTGATTTTCTGAGGTAGGACATTTTCTACAGAATGCCTTGTGTTTTAATTCTTCAAACTGCCATAAGAAGCGATTGAGTTTGTAATAATGTATTTCCAAAGGCAAACATGATCTGGAAGCTATTTTTTTTCTTGAAGAGGGTAAAACAGATTTAATAACATGAATTCCACCAATCCACGGATGTTCCTTTACTAGAGATGACAATACTTAAAAAAAGTTCAGGTAAATAATGAAATAGAAATAATAGATTGATTTAATTATTTTGTAGAAATAAATAGTATTGGTGAGGTCACTAAAAAATCAGAGCTCATTGGAGGACATTGCTCAGCTCTTGCATCACTAAAGAGGCAGTAGTACTTAAACGATGGACTAATAACAAGTCATACAAAAAGGGGAGCTACAGCAGGAAAAGTAACTACATCGAGTGATTAATCACACAGTAAGAGAAGCAGTAAGTTATCTTTAAGGCAACTCCAGAGGCTGAGTGATGAGCTGATACTCCCTTACTGGGATCTCCCAACTTACATCTGAGCCATTGTAGGTTTCACAGCACACATCTCAGTTGCTGCTGATTGCCATGGAAAGTTTCGGTATAGAAATGGAGATTTCTCTACTGAAACTAAATATCTGTGCCTGAAAATCTTAAACTGCTGTGTAAAGATCTTTGGAAATGAAATGGAACTGAAAAGATTTTTCTCCAAACCCCCCTTTACTACAAGCTGTGCCTCTTCCTGCTGGTGAGAGTATGTAAATGTAGAGGCTACTGCTCACGCCATTGATCGAACCGGTGCCCAGCCATTGTACAATTCTGTTCTGAACAGGTCTTCAGATTAGTTTGAAAACTGTTCATCTGATATGGTTTGGGAACAAATGTAGTCATCAATTCCTGCAGTTGTCATGGGAAATTATATTGTCACAGGAAATTATATTGTCAAAATGCTGTCGTCATGTGAAATTCAGAGAATTTGTGTATTCCCAATTCTTTGAATCTCACATTCTACAATAGTGACTTTTTACCCATTTAGACCTGGGAATCTTTAAAATTTTTCCAGTGGAAATGTGCATCCCTGATCAGCCAACTTAAGCCTGCAGAAAGTAAGTTTGCATTTCTTTTAGTAGCATGAACTTTTCATAGATCCCCTCATAGGTACTTCATAATCCCTCAAGTCAGAAAACCACAAGATGAAGCTGGATTTCTGATTTACGCTATCACAAATTTTTAGTACAGTGCTACTACACATAGAATAAGTATATTGGTTAGGTGTTAATTTTAAAGGCATCTGATATTTAAAGGCATTTTTAGTTGTCCTTTTATGTGAAACTTCTGTTCACTGTGGTATGTTGAGTTTACTTTTGTTCATCTCCTTCAGTGATTATTTGTGTTCATTTTCCAGCTTAGATAAATACTCAGGTAAACGGAGAGCTTGATTAATCAGTTGCCTGGTTTCTGTAGCATATTAATGCCAGAGTCCAATACTCTCTGACCAGGTTCTTTTAGCTATTCCACACTTGAAGGATGTAATGTTTAATATCAAATTTACCTATTTGAAGATGGTGTTACATGGGATTTCTGATTTAGCGAAGTATTACAAAATATCAAATACTGAAAGCACCCTACAACTGTAGGTTACACTTAGCGAAATGGAGCAATTGCAATACGCAGCTCAATTGCAACGCTGATGTGAGTCCCATTACCAGTCTCCAGAATATGCTCGCTGTCACAGCGCTGGGTATCCCCAGTCACCAGTAAGGCATACACAGGTTCAAGGCAGCTCAAGCCTGTTGCTCTTTTCAAAATTCTGCTAGTTGTTTAGTTTTTGTACTCCATATTGGGCTGAGTCACATATTCGCTCCCTCCATGCTGGCCTGGCAAACTCAGGGAGACAGTCACACTCTTCTGATGAACTCAGGGATAAGCATCTACACCACTGGTTGATCCCCTCAACTGTGATAGTCAGTGGATCCACTCAACTGACAAAAGTGCTTATCTGAACCAAAGGCCACCTTCTGCTCATGTTGAGATTGTCAGCTTTCTTTGCAACAGCCCTGGTCAGTCACCTTTTGCATTGTCTCCTGAGCTTGATGGGCACATCGCCGTTGCCCATCTCCATAGAGCCTTCTTCCATTGTAGGGATTTATTGATCAGTCACGATATCATTTACATTCTGATTTCATAGAATCATAGAATCATAGAATGGTTAGGGTTGGAAGGGTCCTCAAAGATCATCTAGTTCCAACCCCCCTGCCATGGGCAGGGAAACCCTCCACTACAACAGGTTGCCCAAAGCCTCATCCAACCTGGCCTTGAACACTTCCAGGGATGGGGCATCTACAGCTTCTCTGGGCAACCTGTTCCACTGCCTCACCACCCTCTGAGTGAAAAATTTCTTCCTTATGTCTAATCTAAATCTTCCCTCTTTCAGTTTAAAGCCATTGCCTCTTGTCCTATGACTAAACGCCCTTGTAAAAAGTCCCTCTCCAGCTTTCCTGTAGGCCCCCTTTAAGTACTTATGTCATTAAATAGTTTGATTTATACTTTAAATTGAATAACATTTTGTTCTTGCATTTTCCCCATTTTCCCAGTATTTAAATGTCATAGAAAATATTTTGAATATTTTGTAGTCTTGTGAAATGATTTGCAGAGGAACTATGTAATCGTATTAAAACTTTCTTTCCTAAGGACAGACCAGCCATGTTACTATATAGTGAGAAATCTATCTATATATTATTTAAATACTGTAATCTTTTAAGTCAGCACTGACCCATTCACAGAACTTTATGCTTCTAATAAATGACAGAGGAGACCTAATATTAATTTCTCAACTATCTCATAGGTGATATAAATAAATGACATATATGATGGGCTTTTTCTATGCCTGCCAATTTAAAAAGTATACTGCAGGTATTTACATCCCTGTAATGCGCAGGGGCCGGGGCAGCAGACTTTCTATAAACACATGGTGAGACTCAGGTCCTGGCTCTTTGAGACAAAATGAATTCATACTGGGTTTCAGCAGCAGCTTTAAGTACCTCTGCAGAGATTGTGCCACCATGTTAAAGATAACTGAAAAGAAAGGCAATGCAGGCATTTAGTATTGAGTAGTCTGCAGTATTCAATATGAAAGGGAAACTCAGGCTAAAATGTCTCACGTTTCTCTTTCACAGTGGTGAAATGATTTAATATCATTCTAAATGGAGGGAATCCATTAAACTGTCGTTGTTTTCTAAATGTGGATACTTAATATTAGTGATTTTGCAAGAGTTTTCATTGCTGCAGTGTGTGTAGAATCCTCATAACTATAAAGAGCACAGCAGTCTCTGCTTCCCCTTCTCATTCCTCCTCCTTTTTCTGTGTGTAAGCGAGGTTTGAGATGGTCAAGAGTGAGTGTGATGTGTATGATGCAGTAGCGCTCGGCGCAGGTGGGAGATATAGCATCCCCGTTTTTCACTTTTGCACCTCTGTTGATGTCCAATGGATTCAGACAGGACTCTTTTACTCAAGGTCAGATATTTTCAATGGAATGTTACTTCAAGCAAGCAGACAGTAGCATACCCGTGATCTTTCATTTTTTCCCTGCTTCCCAAGTTAGAGTTATTTACTATTCTAAGAAGCATTATACATCTATCAGGACACAATTAGCACTGCTTGTGCTAGATTTTTCTACCTCTGTACTTTCTGTACTGAGAACGGGGGTCAGAAAGCTAAAGCAAGTGTCCACGGTTCTTGCTGACTCGTGGGGCACAGAAGTAAATACCTGCAGGCACTGGGGCTGGGAGAATGAGACAGAAAGTAAGAAGAAAAGCAACATAGTTATTCAGATTGAAATTTCATACGTTAGCTGTTCATTGTTCTGTCCTTTATAAAAAGTGGAAAACTAAGTTCAGTTTTCTGTGAGTAAGCGATTGAATTATAAGAGGGATGGGGAACACGGGAAGATGATTTATCTGCATTCTTGGGAACTGTCACTGAACATTTGAATGTACTATGATGAGGGTATTCCCCATTAAAAAAAAAAGAAAAAAAAGACTGTTTTCCTCTCCTTGTATCACATTTCTTTCTAAGTGTAGTTCTTGTAGACTATTGCTCTGTCCTGGGTTGTGGTCAGTGCGAAGGGAGAACTGGAGGGTCGCTGTTACAAGAACTCCAGTTGTGACTGAATGTTGTTTTTCACCACAATACCTTTGTCCTGTCCATCATCTGACTTTCATTTAATTGAATGTTACAAGATTAAGTGGAACTATTATAAGGTGATTTTTTTTTAAGTGACTATTTTCCTTTTCTCCTGAGTGATTTATTAATTAGAACATTAATTTTAAAAACTGCTTATGTTTAATTAAACAACTCCATGTTTCAATGATTTATAAATGCTAATTGGCACACTTCTGACTTCTCAGTCAGGATGGTAGCCACATTAATCCTTAATATCAAAATGTAAAGGAGATAATAAATCTGTGATAAAACAGATTATCAGTAGCTTCACTCCCTATGACAGTAGAGGACTACCTGGTCACGCTGAGTTATACAAAGCATTCAATGTCATCAGCAGTCAGTGACTGAAAGCCTCTGGAGGAGAACCAGATTAGATAGCAGTGGGCAGATCCACATCACCAACATGCAGGTTCGATTTAGGGTAATGCAAGTGGCACCGAGTAATTGTCCATGCCAAGCACATGCTAGTGACCGTCCAGTGCTGCGGTGGCCCTGAGGTGCTCGGCTGAGTGTGGAAGCTTTTGCATCCACGCAAAGCTGGCACAGCCAGCTGTGGTGCCTGGTTCATTACTGTTCCTTGTGCTCGCGGTGTGGCTAAACAGCAGTAAATCAGGATCCTGGTACTGTGGGAAGGCAGCCGTGTTTGTGCTTGAGATGGGAGTGGAGGGAAGGTTATATTAAAAGAGCAAATGATGTGTTTATAGAAAGGATAGGGATTATAAGATGACAGCCATTAGTAACCATTCAGAGGGCAGAGTTTATCATGTACAAAAACTGATGTATTGACATGAAGAAACTTATGTGTTGTTTAGAAGTCAATGTTCAGTTTTTATGAAAATTAAATATATAAAGTTTTTGTTTTAAGGCCTCCACAAACCACTCCTCAAACCCTGCTAGCCACTCTACATCAAGTATAAAACTTAAATATTTAGGTCAATAGATTTAACTTTTATAGCCCTCCCCACCCCGTATTTTTTTTTTATGGATAACGGTAAATGTTTTGCTAAATCCCTCTGGAAACAACTGCAGGCTGAAAGAACTGCAGAAATTCTTGTTCTAATTCATGTTAGTCCAGTTTTGAGACTTCGAAATCCTTTAGAGAACTGATTGTCTATATTCCACCCGCACAAAGTTTATGGAAAATAAGGGAGAGGGGGAAGAATGCTGCCTGGGGGAATCCAGCCGATCTGCCAGTGGCCGCATTACAGAGTGGGCAGCACCCACTCTGCCACCATTAATGGCAATGAAACAAGGGTAAAAACAGTAGCAATCCTCACTTGTTTACAGCGAAGCATTGGTGAATTAATAGCTATCATTTTTCTTCTTTCCTCATTCTTGTTCTCATGAGCTCCCTTTCCTCTCTTCCCTTTCTCTTTTCTAAATTGCGGGGCTCTTCTTCAATTTCAACTTACTGTCCTTCAGTTTTCCTTTCAGGCCACGCATCATCTGTTTTCCCTTTCAGCTGCTTGTACTTTTGTTTTCCGTCTTTCAAAAATCTTTCCCTGCCTGTATTTTTATAACTTTACTCCTTCTCCCAGCACATCATCTCCACTTTTGAGACTTCTGTGCTTTTCCTTTTTTACATTTTCAGTTCAACATTATTAATCTCAGGAGAGATCACTCAATCAACTGGTTAAAACTGAGAAGTTACTCTATAGTTAGTAAACTAACACCGTAAGTTTGCTACATTCTCCCCATGCCTGCTATCTCTAAACAGTGTAAAATTTCCTCAGCTGTACTTGTACAAAATTAATGAAGAATAGTTTAGGCAACAGCTTAATATTGTGATTGGCAGTTTGAAATTAATGTTGTATCACTTAGTTTGAAAGCTACTTGTGTCACTCGGTGTCATTGTTCCTATCCGATTGAATTAATTGAATGCTTAAAACTTGACATTGGCATCTTTCATTATCTGAGAGAAGCTTGCTCCCAGTTTAAATGCCTACATTAAAGAGGAATTAAACAGCGCTTCTCTGCAGCGGTGAATTCTGACTTTCAGTAAGTTGGAAGATAAAATAAACCAAAACTAAACCCACTTTATTAACACTCATGTAAATGTCTTCATATTTTTGTTTCATGATGTGATCTATTACTTTCATTCTGTCATTTGCCTTATAATTATAATGATTAATTAATTCAATCCTATGCTTACTCTGGTGAGAAAGCAATTAAAGAAAGCAGTGCCTGAAACCTCATTTTAACCTTAAAAAAGTAACGGGAAAAAGTTCTTATCTGTCTAGGGCTGTACAGATTCTCTTAACTTGGTTAACTTCCTCACTCAGGTTCCCAATCACATTTGTTTGTCTTCCAGGCGAGCCTAAACACTGTAAGAAGTCAGAAGATATAGTAAAAGCCACTGAGCAGAAAGAAGCACTGATACAGAACTAGATTTGCTATTTCTTAAAAACTTCTGACATTTCAGGCAAGACAGGTAATTTTGTAATTTTTTTCTCGTAATGGCGAGTTTTATACCATGAAGGCTCATTGTTATCCTTTTTGTTCTATTCCGGTTGTAGTTTTATTACAAAATTTTTAAATGGGGAGGTGGTACACCCCACTGATGTCAGACTAATCAGTCATGCAATAAAACATCCTCCCTTGACGTATATTAAATACTGGAAATAATCTATTGCTTATGAATTTTCATTTGACCTCTGTTGCAGGAGAAAAGAAGAATTCTAGCTGTTCCTATTCTGTGCTCTCAGAGGCTGTTATCTGTCAACTTATTCTTGAATCATCTTGTTTCTGTGGACAGTGATTGGACAAAATGATCAAAAGTGTAAAACACAAAACCCTGAGCTGGTAACTCAAGGCACTTAACAACTTGCAAGATTTAAGTTGTATTTGTTGTTGCTATTTCCTCTTCTATTCCGCTTTCTTAAACTAGCCAAAATACTTTTTTCAGCCAAAGTTGGACCTCGCTTTATTGCATCACTGACACCAGACATTTCCAGTTAACCATGAGACATGTGAAAACACAACATTTATAATCTGCCTGGGATTGCTGTTACGTATCACTGCTGCTGGCATCCAATGGAAATGGAAAATCAAAATGAAATGTTGTTATAGATACTTGTTCATGCAACCATGCTGCATGCAACATTAAAGTCCTACTTGTTAGCTTCCTTAAAATACCTGGAAATAAGTTATGCAGACTGTATAGGGAAGTTGTGGAGTTACACTGACCAGCCTGCATGGATGATGATTCTTCCCCACTGTGGTGGCAGCCGTATGGAGAGAACTGGTGTTTAACAAATTGATATCTGAAATAGCTCTTTAAAATGGATTAAATTGCATCCAGCATTAAATATTAAAACCTTCTCCGTCCTCTAGAGTATTCTGGAAGACAACAGCATGGTGTCAGCCCTACCATGAAGCTGCTGCTTGTTGTTTTTTAGGGCGGAAAAGACTGCTGCGGGAATATACGAAAGTTACTTCAAATAAGCAAAATGTTGTGTTGCCTCTCAGATGGAACTGGGAGGTGACGCTGAGGCCTTATATCACAGTATGTATGAAATGAAAAGGTGACAACATGGATCCTGTAGAATCCTTGCTAACATTGGTTTCATTAAAAGAACACACCAGACAATCGTTCTCTGAGAGGCAGCAAAACCAGAACAAGCAGGCAGTTACCTCTGCAACAAGCCTCAGAATGAGCCCTCCAGCCCGAACTGTGCCCAGAAAGAGACTCCATTTTCATCTCCGCTTCCCTCGAGCTGCACGTGACCTCTCCTGGCTTGCCCAGGCATCCCACACACAGCAGCCAACCTCATTTTCCTCTGCTGGAACCTGCCAGGAAACTTCCATGCTCCTCTTCGCATTGTAGGCGCTCGGGTGGCTCGGGTCGCTACTCTCCCAGTTCTACTTTTCGCAACCTGTGGTTATTACCTCACTGACCAAAAAGTCTTTTACAATCAGCCATGGTCCGCTCTGAAGAGGACTCGCATGGGCGGTGGCACTTCTCTCTGTGCAGAGGCTGATGGGTGATTGATACCTGTGTGCTATTCATCTGCTGCTTCAGGGATCTAACCAGAGCTCAGCAGGCATCCGGCTCAACCTCAACAAGGGCAGGCTTTGTCCCAACTGAAGAAGGAATCGTAAACTGGTCACACCAGACTGAGGGACCCTTACGCGTCCGTACCTGTTGACTGTCTCTTTTCTGACAGCGCAGCAATTGAAATTGAGCTGAGAATGGTGAAAGCTCTGAGCCCTGGGGTAAGGACATGCCAAAAGGTGGAATTCCTGTCATCGAATATGTTAAGCCATATACGCGCTATGCATAAGTAGTGTGCATAGTTTTAACTTAAGAAATGTTTGTGCATATAGGATGTAAAAAGTGCATTTCAATTGTTTTGTGTATCTGGTCCAGGGCTTGTATTTAGCATGGACATATTTCTGTACAGTGCAGTTAACGAATGAAATGTTAACAAATGAAATTGTATCATATATGTTATAAGGCAATCGATATTTTTTGCTAAGAGTTAAGAATTTATATATTCTCTGCTAGTGTTTGAGCAAGTCATTAGTAGCCTGGACCACTCCGTGCACCTTTGCATCCTTTTGGGGAATGTTGGGCTCTTTTTTTTCCTTTATAATAAAATGTAAACCATCTTACGGTTTCTTATTGTCATTATGACAAGAGAAGAAACATAATGTTCATATCAGACTTTTTTTTTTTAAATTGTAAATTTCCATATACTGTGGCAGTGGAAAAATCTTCTTGTTTAAGGTTTGAGAATTTGGGACCTTTTTTCAGATATGTTGAGCATCTGCAGTTCCCACCAAATTTGGAAAGAACAAAAAGATGTCTGATATTTTTAAAAACTAGGCCAGTTAGGTATTTGTTACTGAGTGTTCTTCAACATTGTAATTCATGGTTCCTTGAGACTGAAAGTCTGGAGCAATCAGAATTTATTTTTTTTATTGTATTTTCAATTTCAGACTTTTACCATAGTTGAACTTGACTTTTTTTACTGTGTCTCTGTCCCACCGTGATTTATATACTCTGCAAGAATTTTCTCCTGGAAAAACGAGCAGAAATTTTAACAGATTCTGCAGAGTGATCGGAGGATCCTGCAGGGCTCACAATGTCCTGTTAGTATCACCAGCACCAAGATCTCCCACTGCAGAAACCAGAAGGAGCTCCTGATTTCACAGGAGGCGCTCAGTGCCTGCAGAACTCATTCAGTAATATAGAATGTGATTTGTGTATAGATAACCCTATTTGCTCATTTGTATTTAGTTTTAATCACTGTGGTAGATGTTACTGAAGTACAAGAAGAGTCCTAGTTTTTCTTTAATGTCAGCTGATTCTCTTTCTTTCTTCCTTTATTCTTAGCAAGATTTTACCTGGACATGACCCAAAGCTTAGTGTGTTGTTTGGATGAGAAGAAATTTGCTTTGAAGACTGATATAGCCAACACACGTTAGTTAAGGCTTTGACCTTGGGTGAAATTCATGTTCGATGGCAGAAAGGCTTCTTGAGAGGGCCTCTCCCTGAACAATAATTTCTCTCCGAAACTTGTAAGGCTGCGCTACCAAAACACTGCATGGGGCCATAAGAAATGGTGTTTGTATATGCATCTCTCCCACAGCATTATGGGCATGTACCCCTGCATTGAGCACACTGAGGAGCTGTTGCTATAGATTAGCCCTCAAGAGTTTTATTTTGTATTTTTATCTTGAGATATCTGACAGATATATTATGTAATATTGTCATGGGTTATGAACTAGCCAGTATTTTTTTTTATTTAATTTTCAACAAGGCAATCTACAACTGTGTGTTTCTATTCTGCTGTAGTTGTCCGTATTTCCTATGATGATATTCCCAAATAAATTTGATTTGAGGGCAAGGATTGTAAAGCTCCTGAGTGTTAGTTACAAATTTGCTCTACTGAAGCGTGTTTGCTCATGTGCGTATGGTTGTCCTTGAAAACTGACGGATCCTAAATGGTTGTTTCCAACCCTTTCACCTGCTTGTGACTCCACACTTTTTCCATAACTGTGCTGGTTTGCTGTATAAGCTCACTCACATCCTCATAGCACCCTTAAAAGCCATTTCTTTAAGTAAGTCTTGCCTTCTTAGCCTTTACTGCTAAAATAGCCCTCACATGAAGAAAATCACAACCCACAGAACAATTTTTACCGTGGGTTGGTATCGATGGGGCCACTGGGACCATTCATGTTAGCAACAATTCTTCAGGAAGGGTACAACTTTCAAAGGCACCTCCATGGCATGGTGTAAATTTAATAAGCCAGGTTCAGTGGAGCAGGGAGTAAACAGGGCCCCTTCCTACTCAAATTAGAAACAAATAGAAAGAATCCCATTGATCGAGATGTGTATCAAATCCTAACAAGGTACATGATGGAAATAAATCGAGATGACTACTTTATATCACATTCTTTGCAGTTCCTTTTTCCCAGATGCCATCTCTGCTACATGCGCAAAGAACTTTCTTTGTTGTATGGATGCCAGAAGTCGAACAAGCCACTACTGTGACCAAAATAACCTCAAATCAACAAACAAATCAAGATCCCCAGTGGTAAGTGTCTAAAATATATATTTTTAATAGACTATACAGTTATTACATGAGAAAGAGGAATATGTAAGTGCTACTAACATTCTTAAACAGCAACTGAGAGAGATTTAAATTTACAGCAGTTTAGTAGACAAAAATTTGTCGGGGGGGGGGCGGCGCATCCGTTTCTAAACCATTCTTTGAAAAATCACATCCTTGAAACCTAGTATGGAAAAGTGAAAGGAAATGGCATTTAATATTGCGAGGAAAATAAAGTTTCCTCTATCAAACACACTATGCAAACTTTTAGGCCACTTCCCTGGGATAATTTTACTTTCCTGGTCATTTAGTTATTTAATGGGTCTCCAGAGACTCCTTTTCCATGTCCCAGGACAAACATTCAGAAGTTTATCAAACTGTGAATATCTAAGTAGTCCCCTGAGAACAAAGAAGCAAGTCATAACCACAAAGTTATAACTGTGAAAAATCTCTTATAAATGCTGGGGCTGAACTTTGCTGCAAAATACTTCCTCTGTACTTAGGCAAGTCCTTCACTTATAACTCTTTTCTAGAGAATTGTAGATAACTTTCCATTAGCTGAGCTTGGGCAGATAATATGTTAACCAAAGATGCTTTTCTGACAAATTACATAATATATGAACTTTAAAGCTGATGAGTTTTATGCGTTTGTAACATCCTGTATAGATCATTATTACAAACCTGAAGTAATATAAATTTATTCATAAATAAGGTGGCCAAAATCAAAATGGTAGGTACAGTCTGGGCCTTGAGCAGGAACATGGTTAAGCAGAAAAGATGTTTTTCACTTTTGTTTGGACTGCAGTTATAAAGCTAGCTCGTTGTCACATA